TGCGGCCGCGTGAGAAACGTGGCGGCGGCCGTACTGCGGGGTGGGCGGTGTCGCGCCTCACACACACACACACACACACACGCAAGGCGTATAAAATGCCAGCTTCTCTCTAGCTGGCCTTTCCTTCGTCTTTGTGTGTGTGTGTGTTATTTTGTTTTTTTTTTGTTTGTTTGGTGCCTCCCATGTGCTGGTGCTGTTTTGTTTTGCGTTTTGTCACTCCGCTGCCTCGCAGCCTCGCTCCGCTATCGTACCCGCGTTGCCGTCCCCGGGGGCTGCTTTCCGCCTGTCGCTCGCCGTCTCGCCTGGCGGCGGCGGTGCATGCAGACACGCCGCGCATACCCACGGGCGCGTCTCTCTCCCTCTGTGAGTGTGTGCATTTGTGTGGCGTGGGGGGAAGGGCGGGGCACGGGGACGCGCAGACGCGATGAGGGGCAAAAGGGGTGGGCGGAGGGACGGGCAGTCACACACGTCGAGAGAAAGAAGGAATGAAACGTTAAGAGAAAAGGAAAGACAGACGAAAATGCAAAACGAAGAGAAAATGCGAGAAATAAAAAAAGAAAAAGGAGGAGGGGGGAGGAAATGTATACTTGTGTGAGTGGGTATGTGCTTAGTATCACGACACGGTCGCACTGAGAAGCGGGCGAGAGAGAGAGAAAGGAGTGAGGAGGAAGGAAAGAGTTGGAACTCTAGGCGGAATGAGGTGAAGTGAAATAAGGTGTGTCGATATGTGCCTGTATGCGTTGGCATCTCTCTCCCTCTCCCTCTCTCTCTCTGTGTGTGTGTGTGTGCGTGTCTGTGTGTGCAGGTGAGAGGCATGGCCCCTGCAGGCCTTGCAGGAGCACAGCACCCACTCATGCATACAGGAGTGCGCGGAGATACACACACACTCATTCTCTCGGAGTAGCAGCGTGCTGGCGCTGCATGTGCGCAAGTGGGAAGTAGGGAGAGGGAGAGAGAGCGAGAGCGAGAGCGAGAGAGAATGAGATATAACAGAAAAAGATCCTGATGATACTCTTACGTTGTTGTTGAGGGGTACTGCCACCTAACACGTCTAGGGCTGAGTATTGGCTGCGTGTCACTTGCGCACCGAAATGATGTCACCTTCTTTTCCTTGGTTTCGCCCTTTTCCCTCTTCCCCTCATCCTCTATCTCTGTCTCTCTCTCTCTCTCTCTCGCGCGCGCGAGCCTACGCGCATTCACGCGCCGAATACCAGATATCTCTGAGAGGTATATAGCCCTGTTTTACTGGTAAGAATTATACGACTCAGTCAGCACGAGGAATTTGAGTGGAGATGGTGACGCTCGCGACGTTTGACATCCCACAGCTTGAGGACGGTACCGAGCCGCTGTCGATGGGTGTGGCGCGCTCGCCCCTCTGCGGGCTGGCAAACCGCGTGCGTGTGCTTCCGCTCGGCCTGACGCTGCAGCAGCAGACCGAAGTGGGCGCGCGGTTGTGGGTGGAGGCGCAGCTGCAGCATTTGCGACGTCACGAAGACCCGCATGCGATGAACGTCTCTGATGCTGACACCGACGACGACGACGATGGCAACAGCGATGATGCGGAGGGCCAGCGGCAGCAGCAGCAACAGCAACAGGGGTCGCGTCGGAAGAAGGCGGTGAAGTTGACAGACGAGGATCTGCTGGTTGACTGGTACGGCGTGCTGCGCCTGGCCCAGGGCGATGGTGCCACGGAGGAGCAGATTCGCGTTGCCTACCGCCGCCGCTGTCTGGAGACGCACCCCGACAAGCAGCAGGACCGCTCCGACGAGGCCTTCAAGCAGGTGCAGCGGGCCTTTGACATTCTCGGTGACCCAGACACGCGGCTCGCGTACGACTCGTCGCGGCCCTTCGACGACGCCATCCCCGGCGAGACGCTGCCGGCGGGGGCAGACTTCTACGCCGCCTTCGGCCCGGTGTTTGAGCGCAACAAGAAGTGGAGCACCGAGCCGAACCTGCCGTCGCTCGGCAACGACAGCACGAGTCTGAAGGAGGTGTATAGGTTCTATGACCACTGGGCGCGGTTTCACAGCTGGCGCGACTTCTCCCATCTGGTGGAGCTCGACGAGATTGACGATAGCATGTGCCGTGAGGAAAAGCGCTACTACACGCGCGAGAATGAGCGGCAGCTGCAGCACCTCCGCCGCGAGGAGCAGCAGCGGCTCCGCGCGCTGGTAGAGCGGGCACGCAAGAACGACCCCCGCCTGCGCCGCAAGC